TCTACCATAGCCATGTGAAAAGTGTGCTTGCTATCCACGTCTATAACAACATGACCAAAGAACTGGCGGCTTGGGAAGTGGATCCGAACAGTGATTTCGAGTAAGCTCATTTTCGCTGCCCACCCATTGTGTATGTGAATCAAAATGATTGGGTGATGAGGTATTGCGCTGGGCAGGTTCCCACCCCGGAGGCTGACTGCATTGGGTCGTCGGCTGAAGTAGAGAGTAGATTGTAGACTCTTCAGATACGGAGAAGATTTGACAGCGCAGCCAAACAACGGAATCCATCTGGGTAGAGGGTGTGGGGATGGAAGTCTAGAAACCTTCCATCGTAACCATAACGTTGGGTAGTATCAGAGTATATATATGTGTCTTGGAAGCACATTTGATCATCCATCAACTTGCCAAGTATCTTCGAAAAGACTACCAATCTCGCCCATTATGGTATCTCTTAAGCAATTCACCCTTCTCGCCCTCACCACTGGCCTCGCCACGGTTGCTGCTCAGTCCACAGGAAAGACGACACGTTACTGGGACTGCTGCAAAGGCTCCTGCGCATGGGAGGGCAAAGCCAGTGTCACCCAACCTCTCAGGACGTGTGACAAGAACGACAACCCCATTAGCGATCTGATGGCGAAGAACGGATGCGAGAGCGGTGGCACTGCGTTCATGTGCACTAACCAGACGCCATGGGCAGTCAACGACAGCCTTGCATATGGCTTTGCTGCTGTGAAGCTGGCCGGCAAGTCTGAGCGTGATTCATGCTGTGCTTGTTATGAGTGAGTACATGGATAAGATTGGGTTTGAATAAAGGCGACTAATAGGCAATGTTCAGGTTGACCTTCACGTCGGGCCCTGTCGTGGGCCAGAAGATGATTGTGCAATCCACCAACACGGGTGGGGACCTTGGAGACAACCACTTTGATATTGCTATGCCAGGTGGTGGTGTAGGCATCTTTAACGGCTGTACTGCACAGTTTGGCGCGCCATCCACGGGATGGGGTCAACAATACGGTGGCATCTCGAATCGCTCTGAATGTGACAACTTTCCTGAGAAGCTCAAGGCAGGGTGCAAGTGGAGATTTGACTGGTTTAAGAACGCCGACAATCCGACCATCAGTTTCAAGGAGGTGACTTGCCCTGGTGAGTTGACAAACAGGACTGGCTGTATCCGGGTGTAGAGAAGGGGGGAAGAAGAATAGGAGTTCCGCTGGTGATACATGATCAGCACAAAGCAGGCAAGGTGTACATACGCACACACGCAATGACGAAGCTGCGACAAACCACGGCGAAGTGTCCGCAGCGTGAGGCATTATAGTCAAATAAGTTCAGATCATCGTCATCAGCCTTTTGGAGAAAATGCTTGACTTTGTGACACGGCAGAATTGTAGTCAGGGAGAAAGTGATGCCGGACCGAGCCTACACCGCCCGGAGAGGGGAAGATTGCAGCTTGACCATGACGTGAGTAGTAGACCGTGGACACTGGTCATGGACAGGTACGAGTGTGTAGATAGGCTAAAAGAGAGGGGTAGAAGGAGGGAGTGGGGATAGGGAGGGGCCCAAAAGGGAAGCATGGAGAAGCCAAGGAGCTGTGTCGAGCAAGCAGTCGTGTCAAGCGGAGCCAAGGGCGGCATGCGTACAACGGCGAGGTGGGCAGGACGTACCCGTTTGGGCGACGCGCGTTCATTTTGAGCAGATGCTGATCAGCGGTGGGAGGCGAGGTGGATAAGATGAGGCGGTTGGCTAAGGGCAGAGAGCGGCTCCGGCAAGACGTTTTGCCCGACTGGGGGAAGGTGAAACAAAAATGACGCAGGGCATCTCGCAACTCGCCATTTCTCCGGGCCTGCCCGGGCCAACCAGGTGCGCTGTGCCGAGTCTTTGCCTGAAGTGCCCGCCAACAGAAACTCTCTGTAAGCATACTAACGACGACTATCCTCTCACACACACACCACGGCATGTGAGAATATGGTATCCACCCCACACTCGCCCATCCCATTCACTCCAGCCACAGCCTCCCGCCCCGTTTCAGACGCCCTCTTGATCGCCGCCGTCGCTGCGAATAGTAAGCACGCAGCTGCACAAGGTCCTTGACCGTCGTGTTGATCTCACTTGCACGGCATGACACGAGGTCACGGAGCCGGCGCAAAACTGAACCCACAGCACAGGCATGGATCGCCACGCCGCCTCGGACCCTTGGGCTCATGATTTTGACAGAGGCCGACGATCTTCGCCGCTGCTCCGCCGCTCGTGAAGATACATGTCCTCCCTGAAACCCATCTTCTTTTCTTATTCACGCCCACTGCTGCAAAAAAAAAGACTCCTCTCGCCCCCCGCCTCCTACCCAACCTGCCCGCGTCTCATGGCTGCGGCCACGCTCCTCTATTCTCCATCAGCCTACCATCCTTACAAATACTCTCATTTACTAATCCGCGTTTGTGCTTCAGCCTGGTGCTGCACTCTCCATCGCTAGACCAACATGCCTCACCGCAACCTCATCTGCCGCCTTCTCTTTTGCGCCATAGTTTCTGTATCTGTCCTTAATATATTCACAAAGGCCTCCACACCCCGCTTGCACCATCCTGCAAAGGCCTCATCACACCACGATTCGTCCGACATTTTCTGCCCTCAATCCCCGCTCGCCAAGGACGTCCTGGTGGTACTACGAACTGGTGCCACAGAGTCCCTTGAAAAGGTACCGGTGCACTTCCGGACCACGTTGCAATGTGTGCCCCACTATGTCATCCACTCGGATCTAGACGAAGAGATTGAGGGCCACGCTGTCCACGACGTCTTGAAGGGCGTCAGTGACAAGACCAAGCAAGAAAGCGACGACTTCAAGCTATACCATCAGCTGCAAAAGCATGGAAGGCGTGGAGTACCACAACAGCAGGTCATGACGTCGTTGTCTGGTTCCTCGCAGGGTGATTACATGCGTACCGACAACGCCGGATGGCAGCTGGACAAGTGGAAGTTCTTGCCCATGATTGACCAGGCCATCAAGGAGAAGCCTGACGCCAAGTGGTATGTCTTCATCGAGACCGACACGTACCTGGGCTGGAACAACCTCCTCGAGTACCTCTCCAACTTCGACGACAGCAAGCCCTACTACATTGGCAAACACCTCTACATCAACCAAGTCGAGTTCGCATACGGCGGCGCTGGCTTTGCCCTGTCCAACCCGGCCATCATGAAGGTTTCCGAACAGCGATCCCAGCACCTAGAGGAATACGAAGAGTTTACCAAGACACACTGGGTAGGAGACTGTGGACTGGGCAAGGTTTTTGAAGACAGCAAGATTCCACTCCACCGCGCATTCCCGCACTTCCAGGGCGATTCACCAGCTACCCTCAACCCCGCCACATCCAAGATCGACCGCGACCTATGGTGTTACCCTACCATCACCTACCACCACGTCTCACCTGCCGAGATTGAAGAGCTTTGGGAGTTTGAACAGGACTGGTACAAGCGACATCAAATCCTTCTACGTCATCGAGATATCTTCACGGAGCTGGTCCGGTCCAAGATTGACACATCAGTATTGGAATGGGACAACATGTCTGCGGACAGGGAATACAACGCCCATGACCATTCCGGTGCAGCAAATCAACTCGAAAGAAACGCATGGAAATCGTTTGAGCACTGCCGCGACCTTTGCGAAGAGCAGACCGACTGCATGCAGTTTTCTTTTGACGCCGGCAGCTGTGCCATCTCGACCACATTCAAGTTGGGCTATGCCAAGCCCTCGGGAAGAATAAAGAGTGGATGGATGCTCGATCGGGTCGACGACCTGTTCCGTCAGCTTGAAGACCGCTGCGGCTTGAGAGATTGGTTTGCGCCCCATGAAAGCGCATCCAACACCGAGCTCAAGCTGAAGCGGATGATGAGACGGAAGGTCTAAACTTTCGCTACCACTACTTCCCCTTCACCTACAACGTCAGCGTCAACATTAACGAATTTCTTTTCTACTGTAATTGCACAAAGTCATGATACCCCCCATCCAACATAGACACTCGCTACATGGTTTACTCCTACCAATCCATCCTACCAGCCGCTGGGTTACACACTTGTATATAGAATAGTCACAACAAGAGCCGCACTGCGCGAGCCCCTCCGAATCCAAGGAATTAATTTAATCACAAGAAACTAAATATAACAATTAGCACTCGACACAGGTCATCCTGCCGACGCCACTTCGTGAAGCTTATATAAATAGATGTTGTGTCAAAGCACCCAACTTTTATACCTTGGGGAATTACGTACGTGGAGCTAGTAGCACGGATTACAATGCAGCATCTTACACAATCATTTCTTTTGTCAAGAGCGAGAATAAAAGACGAGTATGGTCAAGCATACAAGTATATGATTTCCTCACTTCCTACACATAAAAATCCTTACCCCTTTTCCATCACCGACACTACATCTTCTTGTTCACCAGCCCCACAAGACAGACAAAAGAGATGGAAAAAAAAGGGGGGGTGAGGGGATAAAATATTCTGGTTAGATATTTATACTGGTAATCGACTCTCCAATATACTCCTAAATCTTTTCTTCATATAAGAAACATGCACACATGCAAACTACTACACACTCGCAAACATTAGAAAAGAAAAACTGGCGACGACTGCGAAGCAGGAGGTCTGAGTACAAGTACAGAACCAAGAAGAAAAAAAAATCAAAAGCGCTGGTGAAAATGCTTTCGCTCGCTCGCTCAAATGTAAAAACCACAGACGACACCACCCTTTGTCCCGACTAACGTACGTTCTTCTCTTTACTACATATATGCTTTCAAAAGTGTGTGTGTGTGTGTACGCGCTAAAAACTTTGCAAAGAAAAAGGGAAGAGGGGAGGGATGGGAGTGAGAGAGGTTGTGTTAATTAATGCCATTGAGACCGTGTAAGTTCGGAGTAAAGAGGTGATGAAAACAGAACAAGATGAAGACGAAAAAACGCCCAAGGCCAGCAAAGGAAGTCCCATCCTCGGAAGCTCAGCCGCTGCTTTCTTTATAATGCAATAGCTGTAGCCGTGCTATCGTGCTTGTGATCGACAGCAAGATTATCCGTGCTATCGGCATAAGCCAGGAGGGCTTTTGCGTCATCGAGACCCGAAATAGCAAGGCCCTTTTCGTCTTCTTCGTGGATCGTGCTTTCCTGCAGACTTTCTTTCGAGTATTCGCTCTTGCGCTCAGAATCCGCCATGCTGCCTTCGGCGTCCTCGTCCATTAGGTTCGGGGGACGCTGGCGCATCGCACGCGCCTTTTCGAGCGAAATCGTCTTTTGTTGGTAAGTCGTTGTAAAGGGGAGCGCCTCGTCGCGGTCGATTGTCGCTTTCATTAACGCGGCCATCCATAATCGTCCCATTGCCAGGCTGTCCACTGCGAAATAATGTACGATTGGCTTGGTGAATTGGACGCCTTTTTGCAGACCTGCACGAGGCGGTACCAACTTGAAGATGAACATGCCCGACATATCTGCCTCGATGCCTGGAATTCCCTTGGCGCTATCTGTTGATGCCGCAGTTTGGATGGTGGCATTTTGTGGTGAAGTTGGAGAGGAGGCAGCGCCAGTCAATGATGCGTGCAGTCCAGTCATGCGCTCGTCATTGGCCGGTAATACACGATGTGATGATATGTCGATGAGGCCCTTCTCTTCGGTATCGTTTTCTGTGTAGTAGTAGGCAAGGCGTCGGCCACGCAACACAAATAGACGCGTCTTCCACGTCGTCATCAGGCTTGACGACTTCTTCTTCATCCACCCACTATAATCACAGTTTTCCATAGCCTGCTGAGGAGTGATTTGCTGACGGCCTTTGAGGTAGGCGCTGGTGCCGTGTTTCTTGGTCTTTTTCCGCGCTTCCTTTGTGCTGGCGGCGGAACTGCTGGTCATCCGTCTGTTTGGATCCGCCTTGTCAAGCTCAATACTCTTGGACATGGAGTTACCAGACGGCGTACTTGAGCCTGTCCGGGAAGGTGATTGCATTGGAGAATCTTTGTGTGGCGAAGACACATCTGCGGCGCTTGCGTTTGCCTTTTCCCCACCGGTGATGGCGTCCGATATAGCCCGCAAGCCCCTGGATTGCGACCCCTTTCGACTGCTGAAAAATGATCGCGTATGCGATTGCGCAGCAGGAGATGGTGATGCGCGACCAGTGCTTGATGTTTCACTGCCAGGAACGTGCGGAGAATTCGCAATAGCATCGATGCTGTGCGAGTCGTATGTGAGTTTGGTGACTGTTGGGTGCATGTCCGTTTGTGGCTTGAGTGGTCGCACAAAGTCAAATGCACTCGAGCTGCGGTCGCTCTTAATACTAGTGCCATAGTACTGCTTCGCAGCAACCGAGATGGGGCTTGCCGAGCGGAAAGCAGAGTCTGCACTACCAATTCTGCTGTGTCGTCGCCCGTACGATATCCGTCGTCCAGCCTCAGTGCTGTAGCTGGCGTTCCGAGAGTGGCTAGGGCTTTCTCGCTTGCGCAAAACATTTCTGTTCTTCCGGTTGTCGACCTCTCCACCAGAAAAGTAGCCCCTATCAATGTCCGCAGGGGCTAGGCCAGGCTCCGCGGTGTCAAAAGAGGTTCCGTTTATACTCGAGCCATGCGTGTGATGCGAGGAGGACGGGCGATTGAGTTCTTGCACCGGCTTCTGAGGGGAACCCATTGTCCAGTTGCGATCGAAAGACGGCGTTTTCCTATGGGGGTTGGCCGATGCAGGCGTCTTGATCATTCCTGCTGTACTAGGCGTCGAGGGCACTTGGTTGTAGTCAACAGAAGAATGGCGTCTGTTGTGGTTCATACTTCGGACGGACGCAGCAGAAGGGCGGATGGACGACCCAATGGGGGGCGAAGCGGGTGTGTGCTGAATTAGTGGGGATGTAGCGTCGTGAGCGGACGGACCTGCCGAGGATGCAGCTCGCGGAATATGCTGGCGGCTCGTGCTGCCACGCGAGCTAATGCTATCTCTAAGCGTCGGTATGCGTGGGAGGACGGCGCCTGTGGACGCTGCTCGGTTACGTCCACCATCGACTGGGAATTCGTCGTGACCTTCGAGCGAGGGCAGGGGCAGGGAGTCTTTGGCGATTTCCTTTGCGCTCTTGACTTCAGATTGCAGCGCATTGATCTTCATCCAGGTGCGCAGCCTTGGGCCCATTGGGCCCAGATCAAACTCTTGCATGAAGATAAAGTTGCGATCCACGCCCAACAACGCCTCACCGTCGATCTCTTGGTCCTTGAAGACTTGGCAGTGCTTCTTCTCTACGCCCACTTCTTCCAGGTACTCGGCTACGCGGGCGGGCGACCATGTCTTGACCTCTTCCTCGGTGTGCCAATTTTGCTCTTCTTCGTCAGTTTCCTGGCCATTGATGTACGAGAGGCGATGGTGGCTGCTGTACTCGCTTTCCGAGTCTGCGGATCGTATTTCCTTGGTCGTGGAGTTGAGTCTTGGGGTGTTCATACCGGTAATGTGCTCGTCAATTACGCTCAGCGTCTCGTGCATGACTGGGCTTCCTATCGTTTCTTCGTCGGGCGGTGCCTCTCCACTTAAGGTCATGCTGATGCTCCGGGGAGCGCCTTGAGCCGATGATCTCCGCATAGTCTCTGGTCCTTGGGCAATATTGAGGGGCTCTGTCGGGGGAGATTTCAAGGGCGAGGGGGCACTGGACGATGGTGAGGGCTCTGAGATTGCGGTACCGGGTGGGCCCGATGCGTCTGACGGCGGACCAGACAGCTGTGAAGGGTTGCGCGAGAGCATGGTGGGGATGGGTGTGGGCTTGGGGGCAGGTCGTGTATAGACTGTTGTTGTGATTAGGGATAGTTTGTCATAACAGCATGAAATATGCTATTCGCTGGGGTTTCCATGCGACCAGGACGTACCTTCGGGAAACAGGCCATTTTCGCCCGTTTCAGTGTTCTTGCCCAGGAACCAGCCATCGCCAAAATCATCATCGCGTTCAATGAGTTCAATGCGGTCTCCGCGCCTGAGGCTCAGCTCGTCGGGGCTGCGGGCAACGAACTCGTCTGCGGCGGCGTGTTAGCAGTGGTGACGGGAGAAGCATGGGGATTGTGAGTGACGTACGGACTACGACAAGAGTGTCGCCGGGCCGGCAGCCCTCGGTGTGGGAGCGTTGGGCCATGGTGGTGGTAGCAGCAGCAGCTCAGCGGCGGCTCAACAGATGTTGAGGCTGCGTGGGAGAGGGGCGTGGGTATGGGCGTGGGCGTGGGTAGTGCGGCGCAAAAGGCAGGATTGATAACGGTGGTGGCGTCGAGCAGCGGCAGTCACCCGTCAGTCTTGGAGATTCATGAGAGCATGGCGGCGCAATGTGGCGGGCAGAAGAGGCGCCGTTGGTGGGGATGAGGGGCGATGGCGGTGATGGTAGCGATGGCAGAGGTGAGGGTATAGTGCCTGCCCAGCGTCGTGGCTCGCCCGGATTAGGTGCTGGTGGGCGGGCCAGCTAATACTTAGTAGCCTTGCAAGGGCCGGGGCAATGAGCATGGCTACATGCCCATTGCCCATTGACCATTGGCCAGCCCAGTACATTCGCATCACGACCAGGAGCACCAGCACCAGCAGCACCAGCACCAGCACCAAGATCAGGAGCAGCCTCAAGATCAAGATCAGCCTGCGCCGTGCCAGTCTACGCACACTGCGCCCCAGCCATGCTACCGAATACACGTCCGCTGGTTGCGCCGCGAGGTCAGCCCGGCGTTTTGAGGCCGGTTGTGTCGCATCCAGCCCTCTGCTTTTTTTTCTTTTTGTTCTTTGGCCCGGCAGCTGCAGGTGACGGACAGGTGGGAAAAAAAGGGTTGGTTGCACTGCGTGCAGTTGGTTGATTAAATTGCATGGCCATGTCCATTTCCGTTTCCGTCTCTGTTTCCATTGGCACCCGCTCTCGCATTGCCATTACCCACGCGCCCGCACCCCCTTTCCTCGCCCGCGACTACATACATATACACTCTGGCCCACCCGCACTCCCGCCGCCGCCCTCTGTTCGTCGCTGGCGGTAGACGGGCAGCAAAGAGAAAGAATACGGCCGGCAGACGGTAACGAGTACGGGCGAGCAATGCACATAATCCGCCCCCGCCGCCCGCACGTGCGCGCGCGCCATGGCCCCACCCATCCCGCTTGAAACAGGCCGTGGGTGGGTGAGCACGTCCACGTCCACGTCCATATCCACGTCCACACCAAACATTGAGTCCCTCACCCGTCGATCCGCTCATTCTTTGAGCCCGCGCCATGGTTTCTGCTGGCCACTCGCCGACCGACGATGCCACGGGCCATACTCTCCACCATGCCCTCGGCAACCTCGGCGGTCCACGCAAGAGCTGGATGTTGCCTTCCAATACCTCCGTTGAGCCCTCGGCACTTCCCGCACAACCCTCCGCCAGTCCTCTGCCATTCACGGTGCGTGGCCATGGCAGGCCTCGTAAAATACCCTCTCAGAGGCACCCTTCTTTGCACCCCGTAGACCCGTCCGCCCAGTCGCCGTACACCGCCCAGCCAGAGCAGCACCCGGCTTCCAACTATGCTGCATCTCCCCAGCTAGCCAATGCCCTGGCTCCTAGACCTTCCATTGCTTCTGTGCGTACTTCGCCAATTCCCTGTGAAGATGCCGCAACCAGCGCGGCAACGGCAGCGGCGGCAGCGGTCGCGGTAGCGGTAGCAACAGCATCACCAACCACGTATAGTCCAGCAGCCAATGTGTCCACCTTCACCTTCAACTCTGACGGATCAGCCTATGCGCCGGAAACATCCCTAGAGCACGTATATATGGACTCGGTGCAGCGTGGGCGCGCCTCACACGGCTCAATAGATGGGCATCCCCGTCAGATATTCCCTCCGCCCCAACCTACAAACCCCCAGCCGTCAGTCAGACGATGCATGACAAACGTGCCGCCCCATGTTGCCGCAGATGTTGCAACCCCAGATCTGCCACGTCGCCCATCATTAAACACGTATCCGCAGACCAACAGTCCAATACAAAGACAGGCTCACACTCACAGTCCTTCCAGCTTGACGCACACACCCGGCCAAGTGCCGTCTCCACATGTGCCCACAGGCGTACAATTCCACCACCCAGCCGAGCGCAGGACAATGGCTCTACCACAAACGTTTCCTGAAAGCTCGCCTACCTCCTTAAATATGACATTCACAATGTCGTCGTGGTACACAGCCAACAGCTGTTTGGACACACTAAGCGCATTCCAGGCGTCAACACCTGCATTGACCAGCAACTCTCGTGACAAACTGCGATTGGGTGTATTACGAGATGCAACTGAGAAGCAAGACTGGTTCTATTTGACTATGCACCAGTGCTACTGCATGCTCACCACTGCTCCCGAGACTCTACCTGATACTATAAAAAATCTCCCGGGCTTGCCTCAGGCCAAAAAGATACTGCAGGACATTCTTGAACCCAACCACATTCTGAGTCCTGGCGTCCTGTACTTTTTCACAAATTACCCGTATCCTATGCGGCAAATCTATGACACGTGGCCCTCGGGGTTTAATTACCAGGTGCATTTGTTCCGCATGTTTGTAGCACATTGCCTTAACTACGAATATCTAAAGAGTACATGCGATCAGCGTCGTTATCCGCCACTCGCACGCGAACTTGACACAACTCTCTGTATCCCTTCACCCATGTTCCAGCGCCTCATTTTCACTGCTTTTCTACGCTACCTCTGGCACGCCAACCAAAAAAATCCCCTCGCGACTGAATTCGAGGTCAGGGCTGTTGCTGTTTTTCAGCAAAATCAGATCGATTATTTCCGCCAAAAACTTGAATCGACTCCTGTCAGGTCTCAAGAGGCACTGGCTGCGGAACAAGTCTGTGCTTCCAAAATCCGAGCGGCTGTCGAAGGCTATGAAAACGCCCTTCGCCAAGGGGGTGTTCCATCAATGTCTCTCTACCAGTCGCACCAACAGCAGCAGCAAAGACAGAGCAGTACTGCGAGGCAGCTCAATGCCACCAGTGTCGCAAGTCCATACCCTCAGCAGTCTGCTATTCATCAAGTATACGAACAGAATTATACTCCGTCTCTGCCAATCAATACAAATCTACAACCTCAGCCAGCACCAACACCAACATCAGCTCAAATCCAGACGAAGCTGCCCGCGAGCTTGCTTCCACCATCTGGGCGCGTACAGCCTCAACAGCGCGTGGCCAATCCCGCTAGATTCTCTCTCCACCAGGCCCATCTGCGAAGCCCCGTCCTCAAAGCGCATTGCGTCCCATCGCCACTATATATATTCCAAGAAGGATATGTCAAATCTCCTGCGCGATTGTCAGAACCAGGTTGTACAATGGAAAAGTGGGTTTTTGTAGTAACACCTGATCAGATGAGCTCGTTCCCTAGGACTGTCCGCCAATCAGTTGCCGACCCCGGTGTCCGGAATATCAAGGAGAATAACAAGATCGCTCGTTTGCGTTGCATCAAATGGAAAAAGGGAACAGATACACCAAAGGAGCATGTCTGGGCAACCACCGACACATCCTGGATACCGTACCTGTATCTTAGCTTAAATGGTACGCCTCTCGAAGTACGGAAAAAGATGCATCACGGTAAGGACCTAGCCGTCGATGTTACCGACCTGCTTCGCGAGGGTGAGAACGTTCTCGCAATGACCATCATGACCCAACTAAGCGACACATCGCACTTGGACTACCTCCTCGCTATTGAAGCCATGACTATCATCTCTCACGACTCCATCAAATTAAACTGCACAACCAAAGACCGCGTCTCTGCTCAGACCATCCTCGAATCCATCAAACAGAAACTCTCAGGCCCCATCTCCTCCTCAGCCGCCGCCACCGACGACGACGACGATCTCCACGTCGTCCAAAGCAACATGACCGTCAACCTCCGCGAACCCTTTGGCCAGTCAAAACTCTGCGACACGCCGGTCCGCAGCAAATTCTGTCATCACCACGATTGCTTCGACCTCGACATCTTTTTGCGCTCCCGACCCCGAAAGGGCGATGCATCCGTCGTGGATCACTGGAAATGTCCCATTTGCGGCACCGACGCGAGACCGAATGTACTGGTACACGATGGCTTTATCGAGTGCGTGAACATGGCGCTTGAAGCAAGGGGATTAAGCGAGACGAGGCAGATTATCGTGCTGCAGGATGGCAAGTGGAGGGTTAAAGATGAGGCCGAGGGTGGCGCGGTGCAACGGCGTGAGTCTGAAGAGCGTGAGGCTTCTACGCCTAATACTACTGTTGCCCTCCCGTGGTCGTCCGTATCGAGGTTGTCGAGTGTATCTATACCTCCTGATGCCGAAATTATCGATCTTAGTGATTAAGATTGTTGCTTTTTTGTCTCTCCTGATCCTGAGATGTTCCTGTTTTTTTTGATCTTTTTTCCATCTCGATTTATGGGTTGACTATGAAGGTCTCATCTGGGTTCTTTTCTTCCACACAGAAGTAAAGTCTTGTTCATCTTCTTCTTCTCCTGTTTACGGATGTACATATGTACATCCGCTCGTCATTGTACCTAGGCGTTTCCTTGCCCTTTTTCCACTCATCATATCCCAGTGGAGTTTTTTTTTTACCCGGCGATGCCCTGATACCCACTTTCCTTTCACTTATTTAAATACGACTTATGGCTTTTTCATGTCTCAAAAGCAAAAATCATGATCAATCTCGTCTTCTGTTCTCTTTGCCTCTGTTCTCATCGTGAAACAATCAGGAATCATTCTGAAAAAAAATCTATAAGATTAGATGGTAACAATATCTATCTATACTCGCTCGCGCGTAGCCTAGGCGTTGAATCTATCAAAAAACAAAAAGTTCGTTAAATGCGGGGGGGGGGGGGTTAAATAAAATATCAACCTCTAGCGGGACCGGCGGCCGCTGTATACCCAGAACGGAAATTCTGGGGAGGGAGATATTATGCGCCCCGTCCAAAGCCAGCTTGGTAGTCCTCGTTCTCCGGAACGGACGGCAAGGAAAATCGTTCTGTATGGGTATATATAACATCTTCCTTTTACATCCGCAAATCGCAGACGCGCGCCCGGCGTATCTCGAGTGGAAACCTCCTGGGCTTTTCACAAAATCAACAACTAAACCTCCCTCCTCTTCCTCTACTTCTTTAATCTCCGAAATCTCCATCTTCGACCTTGTCTTCATCCAGCCAGTCGCACCGTCCACTTCTCTTTCTTCTCGACACACGCAACAGGCGCAGGCGCTTGGACCACATTCATACCGTACGCCTCGAGATCGTGACAACTCGGAAGCCGCCCACTACACGCGATTTCCCTCAGCAAACTGGGTCCACGGCCCATATCTACCTCTCCGCCCAGGACCACACACGCAGCTTCTTCGAGCTTCTTGGCGAGTAGCTGCCACGCACGGCCATGCCCTGTCGCGCCGTCGCACGCCTCGTGCATGGAGCACGAGCGACAGGAATACGCTTTGAGAAAGGCATGGCACATTTCGTGGATAATGGTTCCGAGGCGGTTGTTCAGGCGCATAATGTCCGGGTGGTGACTTGGCGTGCCGGCGCCGCGGTATAGAGTGGGATGGACGAGGATCTGGGTGCCGATCAGAGGGTTGAAGAGGGATTTGCCAAAGCAGTCGCGCTGCTGCTCGGGGAGGTACGAGAAGCCTGCTGTTAGAGTCGCATTGTGCGTGGGTACGCAGCCTGAGAAGAAGACACGGTTCAGGTGCGTGAAGAGCGTGGTTAGTTGCGCGACTGAGAGCGTGCGGCGCATGTCCAGGCCGGTGATTTGCGGGTGCCATGCTTTGAGGAGACTGCGCAGTTGGTGGACGGCCGGGGTAATGTGCGCAGATGGGTGGAGGTAGGTCGCGTCGAGCCACGCCATGTGGTGTCGTACCAAAGTCATGGCTTCATAGTCGCCGCGAAAGCGCAGTCGCAGGTACGATCCTGGACTGACCTGCTTGGGCTGATTCTCATACAACAGGCCTTTGGAGCGCCGGGTGCGGTTGGTGTTGGCCAATTGGTCCTTGATGATGCCATGGGATTTGGTCGTCGTGATTTTGTAAAGCTTAGGCGCGCACTCGTCGCATTCGCATGGTACATCTGCTTCTTGCACGTCTCTTCTCAGGTCATCAAGGTTTCGCGGGGCCTCAGAGGCCTCTGTTTCCGTTTTTGGCTGCGGAGGTCGTCGGAGGATGCGGTCCTCGATAAATGACAGTTTGGGGTCGAGGGAAATGAGCGGCTCGAGAAAGGGGAGCAGGTAGTGCCATTTAGACGGGCCGTGACATGCTTTGCCCTGCTCGTGGTCTTGTATCTGTTCCCTGGTGCTGGGTGTTTTTGGGTTTCCGAGGATGAGCTTTGCAATTCGCCGAAGGGGATGAAGCCGTCTCCTCTTCCTCTTGACGGTAGGGTTATTGGCCGACGTATCTGAAACTGGAGGATTCCCCATGGGGCTATTATTATTGGAATCTGACGTATAGCACTTGACATGAAGGAAGCAAGGAAGATAGGAGATATTTCTTTGCCAGGAAGTGGGCCCATGATAGCCGTTTGCAATGCGGAGGGCTACCCGAACAGTGAGGCGGTCAAGCGATAAGATTGAGAGATCCTAGTCACAATATGCTTGTGTATCTCACTATGCACGCCATGCAGTGCACAGACGGTTGGAGCGGTCAAGGGTGGAGGCGAGGGTTGGCAGGTCTTCCGGTACGAAACAATCGGGTCCGGAGAGACGGTAAGGTTTTGTGATTGCAACACTGGGTGTTATTGCTACTGGCCAGCGCATAGTATAATTGCGTGGTTATCATTTTTTTTGTTTCGGCGAATGTCGCCATGCCACGCGCGTCGAAAGAAAAGGACTCGGGATTCCTGCCCCTGGGTCACGGAACTGTGTTGCCGCGAAGGGTTAGTGCGGTGATTGTTCAATTCAAAAGGATAGCGCCACGTGGCGCAGCTGGGGGTCTGCTCGCAACGTCCCCAGGGTCTAACGTCGCGCACGGGCGCCCGGAGGCGCGCCATGTTTCCGCTTCAATAAAAGGCAGGCGGAACAGGCGCTCGAGATCCGACTCCTTTGTTGCACTGTCGTGTTTCCGCTGCGGCCAGGTGTGCGCTGTCAATGGCCCCTTGTTTTCCAGGCAGACTTTGGGCATCCAATGCTACCGGGGGAGCGGAAGAGACGAGGTTGACCTCTGTCAGCGGTGGGGCTTCCTCGGCCCAAGGCTCATGCACAGTCAGCTTGGCCAATCGCCAACAAGTGCCATTGATGCTGTAGGTGTAGGGCTGCCAACTCAGTCAAAGCATGATGGCGCTCTTTGGCATGCATGATTGCAGCGTCGCATTAACATCTTGCTCTAATCTAGAGTGTGGAAAGCCTATCTGGATGCTGAGACGTGAGCAGGACGCGATGGCAAGTATCTAGGTGTAGTAGAGCAGGGTCGGTGTAGCGCTGGTTCATCACGTGCCTTTGTGTGTGTGTGTCTGCGGGGATCCGGTGGAATGGGTTGCGCATGGTCTCGAAAAGAAGAAGAAGAAGAAGCTTCTTCTTCTCGTTCGAAGATCTGCTTCACTAAGCTTGTAGTGTTGCAAAGTAGAAAATCTCCTTGCCGATCTTCCGCCTTCGGGTATGCAGCCCAGACTCTAACAAGCCGAAGAAACTGACAAGTGCAAGCTCATTTCCACAGAATGGTGTTTTTGTCATGGTACTTGGTAGCAGAGGAAGACTTGGTATTTGTTGAGCTCCGCGGTCAGTTTGAGTATTAGTGTATAATGAAACTGGTGAGGCCATAACTGGAGAGGAACTAAAGAGATGGCGACAAAGGTTTCTACTCCAAGGAAGCGCGTTTGTTACAACAAAGGACACTCGGTGCTGGGGTCGACAGGACGCCAGTAGGGCCGAGTGGGGGAGTGGTGACTGGCTGCTTGGACCAGCGCTGTGCACTGGGTGACGGGGAATGCGGGAATTGGAGCGGGAGGGTTCAGGAGATGGCACGAAATGAGAAGACTTGGTGAGGCATGAACAGTGGTTCCGGTGACTGGGTGAACCGAGTGCGGCTCTCGGGTGGTTAGTGTAGCGGCGGCCAATGATGGACACTGCAGACCAGGGATCTGGGAGGGTCAGCGTGCGGCATTTGGGTGGGTAGCCACGTCGTGCGGAAATGCATGCCGATCGCCAATACGGGCCTAGCAGGGAACCCAGGCGATAATACCTGGGGGCGGGCCTCTGTGCCTCTCTGGCAGCTGGTGGCCGTGGTGGCGACGGATGGTGCAGCCAGATTGACGGAGCATGGCCGTGACTGGAGCAGTAAGTTCAGATGTAACATGGAGAGCGATGTGACCCAAGCCACGTTAGTGCCGTGAGCAAAACAGCGAGGGTGCAGACGTAAGACGTAGTAATATTGGATGTGAGTAAGAAGGATGGAATTCTAAATAAGACGAGCAGCCGCGATAGGGGCGATGGGGTCGTGGAGCGTGCAGGCAAACAGGTCCAGACACACGGACGGGACAATTTCCAGGGCGGTTTCAGCAAACGTGTGGAGGAGGGCATGGCAGAGGGTCAAGTGTGTCGACCCTGTGTTGCAGCGTGCGGCGGCGAATGCCTAGCAGTGCCTAGCGACGCCTAGCAGTGTCGATCGCGTACAGAGTTGCGCCACCAGCGAGAAGGAGCGAGTGCCAGTGTGAGAGAGAGCGTAAGAGGACGTGTGGTGTCGGGAATAATGACAATTAGGCTTTGATCGCCAGCGGCCAGCAGCGGGCGCCCCTTTGTTGGAGCGGGAGCTGGGTCCAGTGGCAGCGAGAGCCAGAGCCTCGAGGACAGCGGGTGAACAAGGCCAGCGGGCGTGGCAGCCAATGAGTGGGCGGCGATGGAGGGAGCAGATTCCAGAAGACTGCTGGCAAGAGAGCCAGACAGGCCGCTGGGGCGCAATGGGGTCGGACAGCGAGGTGTGAGTGGGTAATCGAGGGCAGTGATACAGGCGGCGGACATGGATGACATGGATGCTTGGCGTGGATGCTGGCTGACGTCCCGGCGTGCTGGCCTCGCCTTGTCCTAGCGCCATCGTCCAAGCCACGGCCAGCACGCCTTATACATAGCAACCCTGGCGCCGCCTGCCTCGCAACAGTAGTATATGTACATTCATCCACATGTACACGCACTGCACATCCATCCACCACACATCCCACAATGGCCACCATGTTCCGTCACTTCTCCTTCGACCCCGTCCCCCGCCCGGCCTACGCCGCGTATGAGGCCGAGCGGGCGGCCATGAACGTATCGCCCACATCGCCAGCCTTGCTTCCACACCACCCAAGTCGCCCGCCCACGCCGCCCTGCACAATGGGCGACCTCGCCCTCCAGCTCAACACCCAGACTCTCCGCATCGACTCTTCTGTCGCCTGCCGTCCCACGCGTCCTCCCACGCCCGACAGCGACTGCGACACGAGCCCGTCGTCACCCACCACCGAATGCGTGCAGGAACAGCCGCGCCCCACCTACTCGCGCATCTCAGCCTCAATCCTGCGCATGCAGCGCCAGCACACGTCGCGCATGCAGTGCACTTCCTCGCACGCCCGCGACATTTCCAAGCTCGTCCAGATGATCGAGGCTGAGAAGCAGTGCACTGTCAGCCCCCCAGCCTCGACATGTCCTCCAACCGCGTCCTCTGCCCGCGACGAGGCTGTGGACATGGACTACGACCTCCCCGCCAAGCGCATCGAGGCAACCATCGCCACCCCAATGTGGAGGGCATCCGATCGCCGGGAGAGCAGCGTCCGCGTCACAAAGACGGTGCGCATGCGCAAGCGTTCGAGAGAGAACGGCGTGTGCAAGTAGTCGGCCTCGAGGTCGACTCTGTTTCTGCATTTCATTGCATGCATAGCCAAGGCGTTTTGGGTTTTTGTTTCACATCACAGGCGCAATATACCACTTGATCTTTGATGAAATACCATGGGTATTAGCCCATGAGGTCGCGCCACAGGGCGGGCTTAGGGATACGGGTACATGGTACTACTCGTTCTACACACACACACACACATGTCTATTGCTTTCTGAAATGCTCCCTGCGGGTTGAGCCGGACGCTGTAGGATGCGACGAGCCGAGGGCCGTTGTTGCGCTACATTATGTATTTAATATTATTGCATCATTGCACAACATACATGGCTTGTATTCATGTTGTTTAGTGTTGTGTGCCAATCAGACTCAGCCCTACGTTACCCGCATCCTGTGAACCTGCGTCCTGGTAAATTTGTGCCCCACTCCGAACCGCCGCACCGCTGCCAATGCCGAACAACCCTTGGTCTCACCAACACCACCACTCCCACCGCTGTCGCTTCCATCGCCGCCATGTCGTTCCGACGAGCCCTGGCCCCGCGCTCCATTCACATACGCATTATTCCCCGCCCAGCCAACCTCTCAGAGAGTCGGGAAATCTACCGCGTGCTGCAGAAGTTTGGCGAACTCGATACCTTCAAGTACCTGCGGGTGCGTCATTATTGTCCCATCTTGCCTGGGCCAGGCACGTCTTGCTCTGCAAAGAAAGCGCATCTGACTCCTCCTAGTACGAATACCAAAACCCCGCAGACAATGTCGCTCTTGCCATATACCGCGACGAAATGTCCGCCCAGCGCGCCCTTGACGCCTCGCCCCTCCGCTTCGCCCTGGAAAAAGTCGTTTCTCCAGCCACTACCCATCCAACACAATCCTCTTCGTCGCAAGAAGAAGAAGAGGAGGGCGGTGACCTAGACAACTACTCAATTGAGCAAACACAACACACCAAAGGCATCGACGAGATCCTGCGCCCCTCGCAGCTCGCGAACCGCTCTTGGCAATCCACACCCACGACCAAGCCACCTCCCAAACCAACTCCCATGCCCTTCGAGTCCCAAGCGCCCTCTGCGAAACAAATCAAGCAGTCCAAGTGGTTCCAAGTAACCATAGATCGTTCACGAACTGTGCATCAAGATTACATCGAGCGTCAGCCCTTCTGGAAGCAGTTCAGCCCAATGAGGACTATTGCTCAAGAAGACCTGGCAAAGATAGTACCACACCTAGGGCTGAGCGATATCAGCAAGCGTCCACCCAATGCCCATAGAACGCCCTTCCGGGTGCTCAAGATTATGAATGACTATGTAGAGACCAAAATGCCGACACTGCGAGGAATATTCGAGGGCAGCGAAGCAGATCGCGCATTCGAACAAAGAAAACAATCCAGCAAATGAGAATTCGACTGAATCCCATATTCTGACAAGCTCCTTATGCTTCAAGCAACCAGGCTTCTCCAAGTTCTATGTAGAGCACGTCAGTCCAAGGCATATTCCAGCCACTTCGCCCGTTGGTTTAGCTCGCATGCATACCACCAACTAGCCTTTTGAGATGACAGAACAAGTCAAGAGACGAAGGACTCGCATATACGGGAATACTCATATTCAATGCCATGCTTGAGAAGTATGGATGGATGACTTGCTGGTAAAAAGTAATCAAGCCAAGTCATGCACGCAACGTAGAGCACGTAGAGCTCATCCAATACTGGACTCAAGCACTTCATAACGGCGACTTGAGTCGACAATACTCAGAAAAGGAAAGGCTAGCCAACACAGACTGTCAATTTATCTGGAATTGCGATAGTACCGTGCTGTAGAGCACAGAGAAATCACGTCATTTCTAACGGGAGATCAAACGGTAGATTTACATACTTGGAGCGGCCCGGTCTTCGTATGCGTATTGGGAAATTTATCACATAAGTGATCGCCCGACAAAGTTCCGCAGCTCATACTAGAACAAAGGTGGAGGCTTGTAGAAAACATCGTGGCTGACGCTGTTGACCATGCCGGTGCCGAGCCGAAATGGTCAAATGACTCCGCTTCATGCAATGACTGAGAAGTGAGAGTCCTTTTTGGGATGATCAGCCACCCTTGATCACCAAGTCTCCAGGAGGTCGCACGGCAATCTCGGTTCTTAGATAGTGGCGCATACCTGCTGATAGTGGGTCAAGGCGGCTGTGCAGCCCATGCACAACGAGAAAGACCAAAGACAGTTCCCACCTTGATAATCGATACCGCCACGGCACTATTCGGCGCCTCAAGCAAGGGTCATTTAGCGCAGACTGCCTGGCGTTTCATAACCTCTTGGCTCCCGAATAGGCGTGAAGCCTTCCCGCGCTGACTGCATCTGAGACATGGTCCCTGGAGGGGCTACACAAGTACACTACATAGTTGGGCGCATCGTCTGTGACTCTTTGTCAGCGTTAGATACCCGCTGTCAAAAATGCTACTACACTACACTGTTGAATGTGGGCGCCTGTTGCGGAGCGTCACACACGCCCATGATATCAGTGGCTCGTGATGCTCAGGAGAAGACGGGTCTATGCTGGGCGATCGGCAAGCGCTGTTTGTAGTTTAACGTCCGTTGGCCAATAGCAATGCGCAGGGAGCACAATGGCACTAGACGACTCCTTAAATCTTGCCCGGCTGTACCCCAAAGGTCACATACCTGCCGAATCTCAAAACGCCCTTCTGACGCTCCCTTGAAAAAGAATCCCCCTCGTTTTTTCCTTTTCTCCTCGTGAGAGTCCACTCATTCCATTCCGCGTTCAAAGCGCTCGCAGTCATTCCTTGATCCAAACACCACCCTCAGCGCGTCTGGTCTACGCGCGACACCACACTCCTTCGGTACACACTCGCGCATACGATAATCGCAAACATGAAGTCCTTTGCCGTTTCTGCGGCCGCAATCATCGCCGGCCTGGTCTCTACGACTACCGCGCAGACACACACAGACTGTACGTCGTATTCGCCCCAGCATCAAGCAAGATAGGCGCTAACGTCCAAAGGCTACCCGCTCAATACGACAAATTGCCCCGACATGGAGGCTCTCGGCGGCAACGTGACTTTTCTGTGGAACAAGACAGGTATTCCACAGGACGACAAGATCTGGAAGATGCCAAACCAAGGCAAGATCGACTGGGTCGAGAAGGGCGCAACTTTTACCATTGAACGATCGGGCGACTCTCCCACAGCGAACTCGGTCTTCTACATGCTGTTTGGACGTCTCGAAGTCATCATGAAGGTGGCTACCGGTACCGGAATCATCTCCAGCGCTATCTTGCAGTCTGAGGCGCTTGACGAGATTGACTGGGAGTTCATCGGCGACAAGAAAACGATTCTCACCAACTACTTTGGCAAGGGAGATACCTCGACCTACGACCGCGGCAAAGACTTTGAGCTTGACTTTGCGCCACAAGACGACTTCCACAACTACACCATTAACTGGAACAAGACGCAGATTGATTGGTTTGTTGACGGCAAGAATATCAGGACTCTTACACCCGAAGAGGCCAAGGGAGGAACCCGCTACCCCCAGACACCCATGAGCATCCGACTCGGTGCATGGGCTGCTGGTGACCCAAGCAAGAACGACCCCGGTGTTGTCAAATGGGCTGGCGGAGAAACCGACTTCAGCAAGGGCCCGTACACCATGACCATCCAGTCAGTGTATGCTCAAGATTACACGAGCGCTGCCAAGTACTCGTGGGAGAACATGGACTCGTCTGGTGACTGGGAGAAGGTCAAGGTCATTGAGTACGTTGTTTTTTCCCTCTGCGCCCACTTGCTTGTAGTATGAAACTAACGATCTGCAGGGGAAAGTCTGAAGTGCTCGAGGAAATCCAGTCACCGCACGGCGTCAGGAATCGCTTCGCGGCTTTATCACCCGGTGCCAAGGCCGGCATTGCTATCGGCGCTGTTTCAGCCTTTGCCATTGGCGCTCTTGTCATCCTCTTCTGCTGCATCAAGCAACGCCGCATTGGCAGGAAGGAACACGAGGCCCTTTTGGCTGAGGAGCAAAAGGAGGCCGCCGAGCTGAACGAGTACAAGTCGCAGATGCAGGCTGGCCGCTTTGCCGTCGGCGGCGGTGCCGGTCGCGTTTAGATTGCGCAAAGGCACTGATTGGAAGTTGCGATTGTACAGTCTTTAATTAAGATGGGTTCTCTTTGCTACCAATGCTTCGCAGTCTCTTGCACTGGAGCTGCCGTTGCCTTGTCATGTTATGGTCACGATATATTTACTTACTTCGCACACACACATATACTTATATATATACCCTTGCTGTAATTTTGCCAATAGAGCCTTTGCTCTGAATCTTTTATATGTTTTCGACATTGCGACCACACGACTACACTACTCAACACCATGTCAAGTCCAGCTGCGGCTCTGCTCTAATCCCAGCGGCTATGCCTGCAAATCGATGACGTCGTTGTGTAGCGGCTCTTAGCATGTGATCAACGACGAGCTCTTCTCCGCAAACCCCGGACATGCGGGCGTGCGGCCTGCGCCGGCTAACTTTAAGCTGCCTCGGCATGTGGGCGGCGGTCCATGGCCAACTGGCTTGGATACAATCGCACCCTGTGGTTCCCCATTCTTCCCACACATATTTTTGACAATGGCCTCATTCTCACGATCCCTACGACCGCTCACCCGCGTTGCTACGGCTTCGTCGCGTTCGCTGCGACCAGCAGTTCGCCCCGCCCCGCAGTATGTCTTGCATCCACCGAAAAAAAGTGTCCAACATGGCCAATGCAAAAACTAACGCGATGCCGGGCCAGAATACGATGTCTCTCCTTGACTCCTTCCAGGCGGGAAGCTGTCGATATCTCAGATGTGCCACCGACGCCCATCACCCACCTCTCGGAGACCGAGATGCTCATGGGCGATTCGGTGTCCAAGTTTGCCAATGATGTCGTACTGCCCAAGGCCCGAGAGATGGATGAGGCCGAGGCCATGGACCCAGCAGTAGTCGAGCAGCTGTTTGAGCAGGGACTCATGGGCATCGAGATACCTGAAGAGTACGGTGGCTCGGGCATGAACTTCACCTCGGCCATCATCGCCATCGAAGAGCTGGCGCGCGTCGATCCCAGTGTGAGCGTTCTGTGTGACGTACACAACACGCTGGTCAACACTGCCATTATCAAGTGGGGCTCCGAGAAGCTCAAGAAGGAGTGGCTGCCCAAGTTGGCCACCAACACAGTTGGGTCGTTCTGTCTATCTGAGCCCGTCTCTGGCTCCGACGCCTTTGCACTCGCCACCAAGGCCACGCGAACAGACAATGGCTACAAGATCAACGGCAGCAAGATGTGGATTACCAACAGTGTTGAAGCAAACTTCTTCATTGTCTTCGCCAATCTCGACCCCAGCAAGAAGTACAAGGGCATCACTGCATTTATTGTCGAAAAGGGCACCCCCGGCTTCTCCATTGCTAAAAAGGAGAAGAAGCTGGGTATCAAAGCTAGCAGCACCTGTGTTCTCAACTTTGACGATGTTGAGATTCCCAAGGACAATTTGCTAGGCAAGGAATTCGAGGGCTACAAATACGCCATTGGGCTGCTTAACGAGGGCCGCATTGGCATTGCAGCACAGATGACCGGTCTGGCACTGGGTGCTTGGGAGAATGCAGCAGGGTGAGTCTCATCGTCATGGTCCCAGTGTGAGTGGCCAGACGCTAACAGTTATAGCTACGCATGGAACGACCGCAAGCAGTTTGGTCAACTCATTGGCGAGTTCCAGGGCATGCAGCACCAGCTTGCCCAAGCCTGGACCGACATTCAAGCTGCTCGCGCTCTTATCTTCAACGCCGCCCGTAAGAAGGAGGCCGGCGAGGACTTCGTCATGGATGCGGCCATGGCCAAGCTTATGGCGTCGCAGGTCGCCGGACGTGTGTCCGGGCAAGCAGTCGAATGGATGGGCGGAATGGGCTTCGTAAGAGAGGGCCTGGCCGAAAAGTATTTTAGGGACAGCAAGATTGGCGCCATTTACGAGGGAACAAGCAACATCCAGCTGACGACCATTGCGAAGCATTTGCAGAAGAAGTACACGAAGTAGATGATTAGTGAGACGACCAACCTACCAAAAAATGAATCAAATATAGCCTGGCTAGAAAGCCACGTGGAACATTATATTCTTACGCTCTCTTTTTTTCTTTCCTTTTTTGTTAGAGATTTGTTTTTTCATCCATCCTGCAACGCCAGCGCAGAATGATTTACTACTAGATCGCGGGATCGATTCAAGTATGTTGGAGATCACGAGTGATATCACACCACGGGCAGTGCCCAGTGCTCCCGCGGCAAAGCGACATGGTTGACTTCCGCAGTGACGCCGCTGCATCCTCGGACCAAACGGCGGCAGCATGTTTTTGACTTGCTGTAAGGGGCCGCACTCTAAATATTAGC